TCGCCTGGACAGGTCATCAGCCCAATAATGCAGACAACGATTTTATAATTTATTGAACTTTATATGGCATTGCGAACAAAAATTATTATACATACAATTTTGTGCTCATGTGACATTATATTGGATTATATTGGATTATCTTCCGAATATCTATAAATCCGTTTACAATTTAGACTCCTCTGTTCGCTTTCCCGAACCATTTCTTACTTTGAAAACCAGATATATTAACTGATATCAGTGGACGCCAACCTCGCCACCATTATATAAGATAATCTATTCCAGTTACCACCATGTATCTTGTCCGATCGTTATTGACACTAAAATACGTCTGAACTGACCGCTTGTAAACACAATATATATATATTGTTATTTCGATATACAATGATGTTGTAATTAAGCTGGTAAATTAAAATAATAACAGTATCACCGTGTAGATAGGCGATAATTGATATAATGTTTATGAAGCTTTCACAAACGATAATTGATATAATGTTTATGAAGCTTTGACAAATAAAGGATAAGAGTTATAAAACTAACATGGGATTATTGACTTTCCATTGGTTTATTCGATTTATGAGTATTGTTTCCGCATATTCCCCCATCTTCCTAATTCCGGTTGATGCAGAAAATAGGAAATTTCATTTCCAAACATTCATAAACGTTATATTTGTCATAAAGTATGTTTCTATCAACTACGTGGAAACGAATTAAAACCACCGATGTCGTCAGTAAACATGAAGTGTGTCCTCCGATGTTAGATGTACAGGTTACATAATTATATACAAAATGCAATCTGGTATGAACAAAACTTCATCGCCAAAAACAAGTGCATTGCATTTTATGAAAAGGACAGGGCCATGTTTTAACCCAAAGATATCGAAATCAAGGATATGAGTCATGATCATCCTGTATTAATGAAAATTCCTCTAGACAATATGTTTGATTAGAGATTATATTTCACCAGCTAGTAGCCAATCAATGAATACACTCGAGTCTTCACCAATACCAGGGGATTGGGACGGAAGTTATGATCAATGGTGTCAAGAAAGGTTTATCACACATTTCATTCCCTGGTTCGTCTCAACGAATCTTTAATGAGGCTGAAATTCTAACATCAATAATCCTATCAGATTAACCAATTTTATTATTTCCGACGTGCTCATGATTAAATATTAAATAATAAACCCGGAACACAAATCATTACTCTAACTTTTATTCCGAATAATAAAAATCAACAGTGACACTTGACGCGTCAATATTTTGATATCCTTTGCAAGTTATATTCCAGATTATTTTCTCTCGAGTTGCGTTACTGAATTCGTAATGATCATTAAAATCTGGCTGCTTTTATGTGACGAGATCCGGAGTTTGTGCCCAAAGTGCGGTTCGATTATTATTCTATCGCCAGGGTTCAATAATACGGGGTACTGCTGTTGCTATTTATATTTGGTATGGTTAATTTGTACACTCAGTACATCAACTATGGCCACAGATCACTAATGATTTCCCCATTGACTTTAATGTTAATTCTCGTCTCTTAGACCGGCTCTAACTTTTTCTGTAATTTTCGTTGGGTAGAGCGCTTTCTACCACAGATGGAGCAACGTGTGGCAACCTCTTGTCCAAAAGCACGTATGAGGTTCTTCGTGAAACACTTCAGATACACAAGTTGGAAGTAGAGACAAGAAAACATACAATTTTCGGCCCTACATTAAAAAAAACAATCTCTCAACTCTTGTGTCCTTCCGCCTCGAAATCATGAATATTCACCAAAACCTGACAGAAAATGTATTTTCAAACCCGTTTCTTCGATTCTACACCAAGTCAACAAGACTAAAAATAACTTTTATCCTTCATTCGTGGGTGACGGCGTAGGAATATTTGGTGAGCTGTGTCCATATGGTAAATGACGCTCGCCATGTTATAGTCAACCAACAACCGGATGAGTCATATACGATACATTCTTCATAGTTGACAATGGCATACGAAATCCTGAGAGATGCGGTGGCTCACTGATAAGGACGCTAGCTCACTAAAGGTTCGATCCCGGTGTTGGTCGAGAAGAGGTTCCTCTGGTATTTCCAACGTGGTTTCCCCTTGTTCTTGGGTGCACTACGGCGAGACTGGCAAGGGCAGTGTCTAGTCGTTCGGGTTGGACGAAAAAACAAGGTCCCATGTACACGTTGGAGTACAGGTAAAAAGAACCCTAGACAACTGGTATTCGAAATAAGAGTAGACCGTAACACCACTGTTCGGGACAAATTACCCGTAAACAACTCTTAGCAAATTCGGGACAGAAAAGTTGGACATTAATTCCCATTTTATTTCATTTATAAGAAATCCTGGCATACGAGTGTGATGTTAGTTTGATTCAGAGCAATATAACTAACGCAGCATGGTTAAGGGAAACTTCTGAAACTGGCGTCTAAGTTTATTTCACTAATATCAAATTTACGAAATGAAGACAGGAACCATGACAGAGTAAGTGAAAGGTGAATTTAAGATGATTACATCACGGGTTGGTTACTCGTGTTCAAAGATAAGTTGAGGAGATCAATACGAACAATTTAAATTGGCTCTATCCAGCTTCCTTTGAAAAACTTGGAATGTTGTCGATAACATTTATAGATAATACAGTTGATTTAATATTTAAGTAGCTGTCTCTTTGTAGATTGACAGACCGAAATCCAGGATTTAAAATTTCACCCACTAAATATATTTTCAGACGGCATATTTCTAAATAGTTATTAGGCATCGAATATGTATGTTGGTTTCAGAATAGGCAAAATCGAATCATTGTTCTGAAGACAAGTAAAAGCATGTCTTAACTTCCTAACTACATCGACCTCATCATCTGGTATTCAGACAAAACATCATCGACCGATTATCTGGCGTCTTGGATGCTGACCTTGCTGTTCATCTGTAAGGAAATTGCTTTCTTATTGGAAAGTGTATCGCGTGGTGATTTTTTTAAAACCTAACCAACCCATTTCCTTCCTGTTCTTATATCACGCTGAAATCTTAACGAAATTGTGACCGAGGTCTGCAATAACATATTTCTTAAATAAACTTGACCTTTACGTGATGTGTTGTTGATAAACGATGAAGACAAGAATATCAACTACACGAAAGCATTCAAAGATGCGTTAACGTATTTGAACTTTTCTTTCGTGAAACTTCAGATTATTATTGATATAAAGATATGTATTGAAGTATTACATTATATATTATGTTGATATAGATGTTTTTGTGGTTGATATACAAAATGTATATTGAATGTAAGTGTTCTCTCACAAATATTTTTTTTATTATTATTCCAAGACGCTCGTCCAGTCTATAATGCCACCAAAATCAGTTCATCTAAGAACTGGGTGGTTTTGTAAAAAAATAAACATTATTTTATGATATAACTTAGTGATGTTCTAATGACTGGTGAGATTCTTATTAACAATGGGCTAGACTGGAAGTTTCTATGCCACCCAATTTGGTTCTACCTTGGAAATCAAGACGCCCGTCCAAGTTGACAATACACCTTCTCAGTTTATCTGATAATTAATAGGTTTTATATATAGGGGATATTCAGAAACAATACAAAACTGCGGAAATGCACTGCTGTTTTTATTAGAAGTAACCAGTTCATGTTAATAACAGGCCAATTGCCTACACATGAACATAAACAGTTCATATTGGCGGCTTATCTGACGGCCCCCTCTCACTCGCAAAGAGATACACCGTCAAAAGTGAAAATGGACGTTTTTGATTTTTGTCTTAATGAGTAATTGCTCCACAAATCCTCAGACATTCAGCAATTCGTCGTGGCATGCTCCTAAACAACCGTCCAATCACGATTTGGGGCAAACTGATCCACTCATCTTGCAGTGCCACGGCCAATTCTTGCAGTGTTTTCGGTTGACTTTGACGTCGACGAACACGTCTCCCGATCAAATTAAACGTAACACACTAAAGCAAAGATACGCTAAACAGTAAATCGTAAGCAAGAACCGATAGGAAAGCAAACCAGCACGCGGCAATTTTCACCAACCCTTCCTTGAAGTGTAAAATTTGACAATAAACCCCTCCACGTGTATGGCGCTATTGCGTGTCTCGTGTGCAGCTCAGTGGTTGTGTTGGGGCGATAAGTTCTTCATCTGTGAACATACTCTCAAAGCATGTCAAGTGTCCATGACTATTTATCATATCATAGCCTGCATAGGTATTAGCATTTCAATATCCCCTACCTTTTTTTATCATTATTTATAAATAATTTATTTCATTTAATAATGTTTTATATATATATATAATATATATTTAATAATGTTTTTTATATATATATATAAACATTATTAAATGATATAAATTATTTATATTCCAATCACTGGTGGGGGATTTGTATTAGCAATGGACCAGGCTGAACGTGTCTTTGCCACTGAAGTTGGTTCTACCTGGGAATCAAGACTACCTGTAGTCAATATATTAATGCAACGTTACCCAGTTCTTACAGTGTGGTGTACGCATTCAATCTATCTCAAGTATAACACATGATATATTAATTAAGTGTAAAAAGAGACATAAGCTACAGACCACCTACAAATCTTGTATTCTATGTCTGTCTTTGAGGGTGTTGTTACTACTGGTAAGTAAAATATAATGCTGTACAGGTATGATATCTTACCTGGTTTTGTGTATTTAAGGTTGTACTATTTTAAAGATGGAATATGTCAGTTCCTATATAAACTGACCAGTGCCTAGTCGTCCAAATGGGAAGATCAAATCGGGGTCTCGTGTACACTTTGGCGAGTACGTAAAAGAACCCTATGTAGTTAAAATCAGAATAACATTTCCTTCAATATCCTGGTTGGAGCAGACAGATAGGACGTTAAATCCCATTTAATCATTCATTCATATTTTGTTTTAATTATATAGCTATTAAAGCGGTCAGATACCCATCGGTATGGTATGCCCAACAGTAATTTACCAGAAAAGAAAACAGAATGGCTTACCTGTTATAACTTGTGTTAATAAACATATTATTCCTAAAATGGACACACGTGATACCGGGAATACCAATATATCCATTGTGGTTGTCTTTATGAATTAAACATTTTAATAACATTTAAAAATTAACTTTAGAGTCGATAACACTCTCAGTGGAACGTTGTATAGAGTCTTTCCATGTTAAGCAACTGGAGCTGAAAGAATATAAACAAAATACCAGTTATAGCAAATGAAAGGTGTGGGTGCCTTATCAACACCCAAGTACATGCCATACAATGAATTAAAATAGAAAATCGTGCATTATCGTCCACAACACATTATAATACCACAACATGAGTTCAGTAAACGAAACAGAGATGTGACCAGATGTTGTGGATCCGTCTTGGTGCTCCGACAAGTTGTGTAAATCTTTTCACAATTAATACACCTGTACCAGTTATGTTGATACAATTTAAGTCCAGCATTAGCTCCAAATTTTACCCGTCAGGCTCATATTTATGTTAAATCGCTACGCTGTCGTGGGACTGGACTGCGACCTGAAAGATGAACTATCTTGACACCTTTACCGTTCAGTATTTACTAAATACCACTTTCATAGAGGCAGATGAAGTAGGATAATGACTTCGACTATTTGAAAGATTACCAATGAGTAGACTAACTGATTTGATCACCTAGGTTTCACGCCGCCAGCCATATTTAGTCAAATCATTAAAGAACGAACACAGAAGGAAATTAGGTTTTCTTATACAAAGTGGTAGATCATAGGAATGTTCTGTTCGATGTATCAGTTGTATATGTTAACACCAACATGTACACGGGACCTCAATTTTCCGTCCAACCCCAACGACGATACGTTAACTCTTGCCAGGCCCTTAGCCTTTAGCTGATAGGTTTTCTCCACAACGCCCGCATTCTCGTAAGTGTGTAGGTGTTTGTCATATTATGATATATGAGTGAATAATACTGTCTGAGTCTTTCAATCCCACTCTACCGTAACATCTTGAAACTGTATCTGGTATTTATCTTAAGAGTCGATCTGTTAGCATGTACAGATACCAAAGAGTATAGTTCAAATAAAGCTGTATCTTTTATAACGGTTCTAGTTTCAATTTATGAATTGTTAAGCAATAGCTTATTTCCCTTCAAGACGATGGGGTCCAGTGACAGGCCGGCAACATTATTTAACATCCAATGCAATTGAATATTGAATCAATCATATCGCAATAAAATTTAGACATCTTAACGACTTCTTCGTTTGTAATTGTTTTAATATACCACCGTTGGTCATTCGGTTCGTTTTTGAAAACATGAAAGGGGAAGAATAAAAATTCTAACCCATGGATATTCGAAATGTTATTCACTTCCATAGTTTTGCTATTTCAAAATGACATCCGTTGATGCAACGTTGAAAGACAGGTCATTTATATAACAGAATGGAAACCATATATTGGGAAATCTTTGTAATGAAAATAAGATACACGCCTTACATGTGTTCAAGTAAAACTTTCACGAACGGTTAACAGAAATAAAAATCCAATAAGTTTGCGTTACATCAGGGTACATTTGAGTAACAAACGAACTTGCTTGTCTACGTCAATTCAGACATACTTCGGAAATCCCTAATGAACCGAGTATGCGTCATGCAATTGACAATGTTTGTTTTTATGTATGTAATTATAATATTAAAGCTAGTGCTGACGATAGTCCGTATAATTCAATACGCATGATATAATATATAACAATAATCATACAATAAATTGATGGAGTTGGGCTTTTTATAGTTCATCTGAGAATATCAAGTAAATACGGAATACAGAGCATCTTTTTGTTTGGTATCTCTTAACTTTTTTAAAGGCTATTCCCCAATATTATTAAAAATTCATTAAATAATCCTAGCCCTTATAACAAACATAGGTTGTCAGGTAACGATCCATATGCCTACAGTAGTTAAGTCGTCCATACAGTCCACAAATGCATGCACTCGCTTTAAAGTTTGATTGGTTTCTAGTTCTTCTCAATGCCTATATTTATTATACAAATTATATTGCTGTAATCATATGATAACTATAGTACAATAGTTTTAAAAGTAATCATGTGTAATAACTAATTCATCAGCTTCTTCGTATTATGAACATAAACACGATGTATAGATAGATTTCAAGTCGATCCAAAGCATCTGCAAGTTTTATCGAAATGGTCAATGGAAATCATTCAAATCGTTGCCAACTATCTGAAATCTTTAGAATTCTTCATCAAATGGACATAAAAACTTTGTTTAAATTACAAGTTAATCTATTGGTAGTTTTAGTCTGTATCAATGTGGGCGTATTAAATCATATAATCTATAATTTAAATCCGATAATGTCAACATTAATGGACAAAAAAACTGCATTTTCTCCCGTTTATACGTGGAGAGATCTTTCCGTTCCGTACGTAATGCATTTGTCACAAATGGCATGCACTACTGGGACCAACAAGTAGAACCAAAGTGTAATTCGGTATAGGCTACAATATACAAGGTATACTGCTTGTGTATTTTGAATAATCAGGGGAGCCTACTGTTACTATTTTCTAAGTGGGAGATATAATGTATTGATACAAACCTAACTTTATGTCGTATGCATTTGCGTCCGCTCTTGCCCACAAATATTTTGTCACCGTGCTATTGAAACAAATGCATACGATATATTTCATAAGACGTAATTGTCAATTACCGACTTAAGAATTGGGGTATATTTTTAACTGCTAGTTCCATGCATCCGTGTTCGAGATCAAAATGCTATCTCTTAAAATTTCCCCACTAACTATACTGTTACTTGCCATGTCATAGTATTATTAAAGATACATTATGTAAGATTTAGATAAAGAACTAGCCATTCTTGCTATAATAGTTCGAAAGTAGATGATGTAAATTGAATAATTTGAAAATTTCATTCAAATTACTCTATTGCAAGCGAAGATATTAGTCTTTGAAGGTTTGACAGACGTGTGCAATAATTTCAACCACCATACTGGTTGATCGGTCTCGGTCCTCCATATTTGATTAAATCAAAGTATCGCTGAACCATTCTAATCTATTTAATATCGGAGACATCTGATGCCATCGAGAGTTGATTAAGGCCTGGATCAGATAATTAATGTCTAATTAATACTTTAGAAAACATTTCAGGCCTAAAGAAAGACCTGCAATAGGCAGATTTAGCTCTTGCATAATGCATGTTTAATATACATGTGTCCGAGTAGTATCTTATAATACATCTTTCAGCCTCTAAATGCATCAACCAAATTCGTGTTTTCAGCTTTGTTCTTTGTCGGTTTGACTAGAACAAATACCATGAATAATTCGGGATTGGTCCCAGCAAAAATGAAATTGATAATTAACCCGCTTAATTACTTTAGAATTTTGTTTAAAGTGGCATCAGTTCCATTAGAATAAAACCGTATAATGTTCTACAACATCACAATTTATGGAACAATAACGCATTATAGAGAAGGCGATCCCCCAATTAGGAATTTTAGTTATGGATTCATGCAGTCTAGCCAAAACATGTGCATTTTAGATGCACGAATCCATTTATTTCTGTAAATAAATAATGAACAGAATCCGTTATTATTACGTAATGAAACTGATCAACACCCTGTCGCCTCCATTACTGATATAAAAAAAAATAAAGTGACAATAAAGATGAGATGAGAATGAAAGAAATATTGATTGTCATCCCCAACATTTACATAATACATGTCATCAAGTTGATGAGTTGCATTGTCATGTCGATGAAAAGATCCAGAGTCACGTAACATGGAATGAATCATCTTCAACAACTTCGGACCATCAGATTAAAAAGGGTAATCACCTTGCAAACAAACTTACGCATAAGCCTTCATTTTTTAATGTAGCCCCCTGAATGTAAAGAACATTGGGGTATAAAAGGGGATGCGGTGCATAGCATAACCACCACACCTCTTCGGGCTTCCGTGTTTCAGCGGTATATCTGATCTGCTGTAACACGTCCAATAACTGATTTAAATATTAGTGGACAGGGATCGACCCACATACCTAACCCTAATACTAGTTTTAGTAATTTAAACATTTGATACCCAGTCATTTCAGAAATCATTCAATCCCAACTGGAAAGAGACATGGACCCTCGATAAATATTGACACTGAACCAACGGGTATTATATTTGTTTCAAAATTATTCAACCATGTGTTGTCATCATTTTAAAGGGTAGGAATTGGAAAAAATATACCATGTGTTTGGGGAACAAATGTTCATTAACTTAAAGCGTTCGGTTAATGTTATATGAGCTGCATGGAGTTTTTAGCTATTCAAATCAGTGGCTTTGATGTGTTGGACGAACGCAAAACTGAATTCCCAACTAACATAAAATAAATCAGATCAAATGAAATGAATTGGTGTTCATTAACGTCCTAATTTCTTCTCCGCACGGGATACTAGAGACGGGCATACGACATACAGTGTCCAGCGGGCTACTCTTATTTTGAATTCCAACTTTCGATGGTTCTTTTACGTGCACGTCATGCGGACGACTAGATAATGTTCCTTGTCATTGCCCCCCCCCCTCACCTCCACCCATCTTGCACAGTGGACAAGGGAAACGTTCTCGGTCAACACTAGGATCAGGTTAGCGAGCCAGCTTTTTTAATGTATTTGCTTCCCCTAACTTTAGAACTTAGCTACAACCCTGCAGACAACTGAATTATCTTTGAGAGTGCCACAGAACAAATGGGACTGCAGATGTTCGTTTTCCGTACAGCCGAATAATAAAAGCACACATCTCTGCGACAAACTAGATAAATGAGTGCTTTAAATCCATGCACAGTGAAATTTTAACGCTAGAAAACAGTCTAGCACATACACAAGGCGTTGTGTGATCAGGATATCAAAGGAAAGGGATGGGGTTTAACGTCTCGTAAGTGATCAGCACTATAGCTCAGTCGTTTTGAGACTAACATACTATCATTTGTATTTGCTAATGTCGTGGTTGCAGTGCTACGCAGGGAGTGAACCTTTCTACCATTTTTTTACATGCACGCCAACTGGCATTTTGTCTCATGCAACACTTTCTTTCTCAGCGCTACAGGCGTTACCCCTGACAAATAAGAATCGGGCATCGTCATGATTCCAGCCATGGACATTCTATAGGTGCAATCCCTGCCCTGTCAGAATGATCAAAAACTAAACATAAATTGATGACAAAATACTAAACTCATTCTAATATAAGAAAACAAACAATGAACCGGCGGTTAGAATTCTCATATGAAATTAACTAACATTAAAAGCTGGTATTATGACAAACTAATTCTGAAATAAAAGAGGGGTTTAACGCCCTACCTATCTGTTTAAGCTTGAACATTAAACTTACCTTGGAACTCAGTATGTGAATTCAGTGCCCGGTTAACACAGTAAATATTGAAATATTTACTATAAGTAACAAATTTATGAACATTATGTTAGGTATATATTTATATTTCACGTCTATTCATGATACAATTCAACAGTTTGATCAGAATAATAATATCACATTGACAAAAACAACATTTCTATGTAAGCCCTCTATATAACTCCCCGCTAATTCAGTTACACTTGCTATTATATCTGGGTATCTTAATCCAATGTCAGAAAATAAATGAAACTATTCATGGATATGAGGCTTGCTACTAGTTTATGGATCCCAAAACACAACAGGTAGAATTCCAGAACACTTCAAGTGATGAAAGACTTCCTGACATTGATAGCACCGTACTCGGCTCTCTACTAGGAACCAAACACGTGCTGCGTGATTCCAGTTGTCAGATTTAATCTGCAACTAATCACAACCAATCTTCAAATAGTATAAACCAATAGCCGGCGAGTGGGTGGAGCTTGCTTTTAATCAATGAACTACTTTTACTACAACTTCTGTACAATAAAAGGAAGAAATTCCAAATAAACCAATCCATGGCCATTTGGAACAAATGGATGTATGGTTCAGTCATATCCTAAAATACAGGAGCAATTGTACTAATTCTTTTTCTGCGAAGCGGGGGGGGGGGAGCGAATGGTTAATACGTGCACGTTTTATCAGAAGGTATGTCATTGAGTGAAATGGCGTGGTTTCAATTCCCCGCTTGTGCGTGGCAAGGAGCAGGGTCACCTGTCCAACCCCGTGTTTCTCCGGGTCCTCCCATTTCTAATGACCTCTGCGCGCAAGGGAATTATTGAAATGAAATTGAACCATGTGTTAGTCCCGAAATGACCCAGTTTGTGTCGAGTGGACGCTAAACCTCCTCTCTCTCTTTCTCTCTCTCCCCCCTCTCTCTCTCTCTCTCTCTCTCTTAAAATGGATTTGAATGAAATATTGACACGTGGACAGTATAGTGATGGACTTTTTATTTTGCTTAGATATCATAAAGAGACCAATCAATCTATTCAGAAACAAAAACGTAAAGCTAACAAGTTTATCTTTTCATCACTAAAAACATTAGATTTTGTCAAGCTTATTTGTGACAAATTAGTCTTTGATGTGTGTTGTCATACACCGATCGACTGATTTCTTTATACAATAAAACAAATAATAATCATATTATTGAAACAGAGACCGACTAACTGATTAATACTTAATGCATAAAGAATCATTTTTAAAGAGAAAACTTGTTTACGCGGAGTGCTAAAAAAACCTAATTCTACAAATGTGATTAGCTTAGTCAGTCAGACTAATAGGGACGGAGGTCATGCATTCGGCATGATAGCATTACTCTTTCGAGAACACTCGATTCTACTTCTCGAATAGAAATTTCACATAATACTAATTTTCATTGTGGATCACGGTGGCTAAGTGGGTAAGACGCTGGCTCGCTAGCCTGGAGGTCGGTTGTTCGATCCCTGCATCGGCCGAGAAAGTTCACCCAGATTTTCCTGCGTGGTCCCCCCCCCCCCTTGTCAGTGGTGCAGGACGGAGGGCCTGACAAGGACAGCTGTCTATTCATTCGGGTGAGACGAAAAACCGAGGTCCCGTGTACACATTGCACGTAAAAGATCCCTTGACAATTGGTCGTAGTGCCGCTGTCCGGGAAAAATTCCCCTCATAGCACACTGTATGGCGTATGCCTGTCTTCATTAGCCTAGTTCGGGGCAAAACAGTAGGACGTTAAATACCACTTAATTTCATTTCCGGTTACACAATGGTATGTATTATTTTATTTTTCTGTAAATAGATACTTACCACGTATACTTATTTATAGTTCAATGGTGGCTAATGATATGAATTTCATAATAAGGTCTGTCATTGGGGCTTGTATGTGTCGTGTGGATATTAGCCCACCCCCTCCCCTCTCTCTCTTTCTCTCTCTCTCTCTCTCCCTCTCTCTCTCTCTCTCAAACTCAAAAACTTCAATCTACTGTTGTTTTCAAAGTTAAGAGAGGAATATTATTCGTATATAGCCTGCCGTAAGTCGGTTATTACTAAGTGTGGATTGACGAATGATATCAACAATAAATAACTCCAACCATCATTGATTGACCACTAATTCACTTTCCAGTAAATAATGACGAGGTGACGATGTATTTATAGTATAGAAGTGTTGATAGAAGATGGGTTGAGTGGTACCTGTAGTTGTTGAAAGATCACACCATGGACAATCTGTTAATATTCTCAAAAAACTCCACCAAATATCAATCTAGATGATAATCAAGTTGATGTACAGATAAATTATCTCTTGTTATAAGTAGTTTGATAGCATACAGATAATATCATGATAGCACCAACACTGGTAACTCCGTTGGTTCCAGTGTTATTTCTTAGTATTGAGTTATCTGCGCATTTATCAAAGGAAAAGGTGGGTTCACATCCGCTGAATCCATTGTATTTAGAGTGTAACGGAGAATAAACCTTTTGTTTCCAGATCTGGAATTCCAACATCTGTAAGGCCTATTTAGGCAATTATTCTTCTAGTATTGTTTGTTTTAGTTTTTTGTTTTGTTTTTACTAAATGAATTATAAAAACATTATAGCTTGCAATAATAAATCAATGGGAAATTAATAAAAATAAACAAATGAAAGATTTTTTTTTCTTTTGTTACTATGAAATTAAGAGCATGTATGAAATAATAAAGATCAAACCCAAATGAAAAAAAAATTGTATAAGGTGTCAAATATATAAAACTTAGAAAAACGACTTTTACTTTTCAAGTACGAATATTTCAGGAACTATATGTGGAAGTGTGAAATATGATACATGCTTTCTCTACCTGCATCATGTTTAGCCATGTTGATGTTCTTGTTAATGGAGATTTCTACTGCTTCAATGATTTTCAGTATATTATCAGTCGTATAAAATAAACATCAAACCAAGATAAATCAACATACCATGAACATATGGTCAACCAATAACAACTACAGTCGTCATCGCTGACGGATGAACCGAGTGGGCCTACAGACATAAATCCCATTTTTACTACGAAAATAGAACTCTACTGGGTTCAGATCTAAAAACGCTCCGAAATGTTTCGATAACGTAAACGAGTCTCGGTCCAAGGTTGGGCAGGGTTCGAAAAACAAACCTGTCCAAGGTAACTCAGTACATGTGCGCGTCCGCTGTACAGTGGCAGCAACCCCACAACTTACGTTGACCAGGGGAACTTAACTTGTCTGTAAAGGGTTCCATACTTAAACAGCTGTAAAATACTGATAATGTATATTCAACTTCTTGAATTTTTATCACTGCCAGATCCGAACCTCGTAATCATATGCGCAAAGAGAAAATGCACTCAATCAAATTAACGGGATTTGAATAAAGGGGGTATTATTATAATCTAAATCTCTATCCGTCGAAACCTTAAATGGACGAAATTGGGTCAGACCCTACATCCAATGTAGACTAGACTAACCAGACGCGAACAAGTACGATTTGGACTGCTCAGAAATTACGATATTTTTCTTTAGAAAAAATGAATGTAAATCAGTTTATACACTCATAAAATATAACATTATTCTGTGCTTTTAGACCCATATTCGCCTGTATTACGTCCGAGATTTAGCTCCTTTAATTCTGTACCACAACCTGAAGACTGTGTTTGCTTTGTTCTTCTATGTGCGTTCTAACTGGGCCAAACTGTTCCTACTTCTGATTTTAATTTCGCCTCGGTAATTTTACTTGAACAACGATATCTTTATATATATCAAATATTGACGGAATAAAGTTAACAAGATTTACAACAGACGTAGTTACGGACATGATAAACGTTGATCATCACGGAGAACTGAACATATTGATCTGATGACAAGCCAGCGATAAATTCACTCCAATTCAACGCGCATGTTGAAAACCAAAATTAAGTCTATGACGTTGCCTGTATAAGTCAACTATAAATCTGGTTACCTTGCGTCAGAGGTCATGAGGTCATAATCATACCAGGTTCGTCGTTTCTAGCTAGTGCAACTTTACGTGGTAGAAAAACCAACCCAAGTTGGAAAATCCATTTTGTGACCGCTTTGGATAACATCGCGTGTCGCACAACCCAAAAAGTCAGGATCAGGATCACAAGACTCTGCGTTATAATCCTTGCAGACATTAGATGTATATTTAAGCGTGTTTCAAAGTGGTTTCTGATAGATAGTGTATTTTAGTTTCATTTCGCCCAACTTTCTTGAAAGTCTACGTTTAATTATTAAATTTAGAAAGGAACTATAGCTTGAAGTTAGCGACTGCATCCTTAATTTTTTCTATCACTACGTCATAGAATATTCTACTGTACGTGTCTATAAAGTATCGTATTTATAATTAGACTGACGTGGGGCAGAATGGAACCGGATTTAATTAGAATACGATACAAATTTTATTATAGTTCAGATCTGAATATAGGATTCTTCTCTCGTCGAAAATATTTTGCGAGTTGATCTTATTTTCTAGTAATTGGTCAATGTCCTTTAGAAAGCGTTCAGCCAATTTGTTTTTCAATCGAGGATTGTAATTTTAAAGCCATGCTTGAATACCTTATTTAAACGACAAATCGCCAGGGGTATTAATTATGGTTCCATAGGAAACGAAGGTGTTGTTAGTCACAGTAATGATGCAACGCAGGAACACAGACGTGACAGATACAGGACGTGACTTGTTCCGATAACTGACTGGGGACTCATTAATTGAATGGAGACATGACCTAGTTCACCACTTTGCTACATTCTGTTCTGACATTCCATCACTTGTTAAAGTTTTTTGCTGCTCTTTCCACACTTAGAAAAAAATGGTCGTTTACTTTGGTGTAATGAAAAGTCGGGGTTGTCTTTCAGGCCGTGGGAATTGTGTGCGTGTGTGTATAGGTGGGAGGGGTGGGGGATACAACATAGTTCATTGTTCCGTGCGGTTTCTATTAATCATATTAAAATTACCTTTATTCTTCAGAGAGAGAGAGAGAGAAATGGGGTTTAACGTCCACTCGACACAAACTAGGTCATTTCGGGACTAACATATGGTTTAATTTTATTTCAATAATTCGCTTGTACATAGGGGTCTTTAGCAGTGGGAGGAAACCGGAGGACCTGGAGAAAACCCACGAGGTTGGACAGGCGACCCTACTCCTTGTCACGTACAACCGAGGAATCGAAACCACGCCAGTTGACTCAATGACAGATCTTATGATACAGCGCGCGCACGCTAACCATTCAGCCATCCCCCCCCCTTTCTTTGAAGAATAAAGGTGGGGGGGGGTGGATGGCTGAATGGTTAGCGTGCGCGCGCTGTATCACAAAGTCTGTTAGTC